AGTCCACTCACACTGTTTCCATCAGCTGCCCCCTGTGTCCACTCTAAGCTCTCGTCTGGGTTAGAACTGTGACACTAAAACCAAGAACGTCAGATGCATGTGAAGATGGTCACAGCATTGCTGCTCAGAGTGGTCAGGTCTTGGAAACCCAGATGTCCATCCAGGAAAATGACTGAATCGACACAGCGTGCTACAGCAGGGCAGGGTCCCCAACCCAAGGTGCCCCTGGGTGTGTGTCAGTCAGGGTGGTCCTGACCAGGGTTGGGGCTGGCATGTGATGGGTAGAGGCCTGAGGTGGGTGGAGGCCTGAGGTGGTGGAGGCCTGAGGTGGGTGGAGGCCTGAGGTGGGTGGAGGCTGAGGTGGGTAGAGGCTTGAGGTGGTGGAGGCTGAGGTGGGTGGAGGCTGAGGTGGGTAGAGGCCTGAGGTGGTGGAGGCTGAGGTGGGTGGAGGCTGGGGTGCTGCTGGACATCTAGCGTTCTACCCGAGGTCCATCGTGCTGAAGTTGGGAACTGGAATCAAAGTGCTGTTGCTGTTAGGAAGGACGAGTGGGCCTCATACATATTGACCTGGCAGACCTCCAAAATATGTCACTCAGTGAGAAAATGGGCTTATGATTCACGTGTGTGATCGAGGCCTGTCATGGCCACCATGGCCTCACTGGGACAGGGAGGCCTAGGGCTGGAGGGGCGGTGGTCTTCATTCCTCTTTCACTCTGGAAGGGCCTCTCTGTCCTCCCCCACAGCCAGGCTGACATCTCCTGGGAGCCAGATGGGGGATGGGCTCTGCTGTCCAGGCTCTGGGCTGGACAGCCACCTCCCAGCCGGGCCAGGAGACAGATTCACCAGGGCTTCCAAAGGCACGACCAGCCCTTTAATTCAGGACGAGCTCCTGGCCCAGCTGGACCCTGCCCAGCAACGGCCACCTCACTCCCCGCCCTCTGGGCTCACAACACCTTCTCGTGTGAATCAACAGGTCTGGAATCTGGGACAGCAGCCGGGGTGGAGACCTCTCCTGTCCTTCAGCATTGTGGAGAGAGAGCTGGAGGCTCCGAGGGAGGAGGGCAGCGGGCCGTTTGCGGGGAAGCTATGAAGGCTGGACTCTCCAGCAGAGACCCTCAGAGGCTGAGAGGCCGGGCACCCTGGGGGGTGGCGGGACGCTGTGGCCTGGGCACCTCCGGCAGCTGAGAAACGCACAGTTCCCTAGGATCAGCTTCTCTGTGGCAGTGAAGAGGTCACCGGCCGCAGAGACTGGCTGAAGGGTCCCTTGCAGTCAGGGGCCTCGACTGCAGTCCTGGAGCCCTGGCCCTGTCTGGGAGCAGCAGAAACTGATGCCTGTCAGAGTTGGGGAGGAGTGTCCACCATCCCCAGCAGTCCATTGCTGGCTAGGTCCATCCCCAACCGCAGGAGGACATCTGTTGGCATCCCCAGCTGCCCATGGGTCCCAGGGTGGTCCCTGGACCATTGCCCCATCTTGTGGGCCGTCTCAGCCTTGGGTCATGTCCCTGCCCCACGACTCCTCCCTCCACTACCCCAACAACACTGCGGCCCCTCTGTCCAGCCCTCCCACTCCTGCTGAGGCCAGCCCACCCCGCAGTCATCGGGACCATGTCCAGGAGGGACTCCCAAGGGCCCAGCCCTGTGCAGCCTGCGGCAGTGCCCTCTCCTGGTTCTGCTGTTCCAAGGCACTTTGGGCCCCGTTCCAGACATGCTGGTTCCCAGAACCCCAGCGGGTCAGACCTGGAGAGACCTTGTGGGGTCTGCCCTGGCCCTCCTCCCCTAAAGGCCGCAGGGAGGGTCTGGGACCCTGCTCCATCAGGTGTCTTTCTAAGTCACCGTGGCTTTCATTCCAAAGTCTGCCTATTCATGTTCATTAATTTCATGATATTTAAGTTCCTTTATTGAGCTAACAACATGAGCAGAACCTGTGGGTTTGGGAACGAGTGTAGGTGACATTAGAAGACGTCCCTCCCACTCCTGGAGCAGGGGCTGCTTCCCAAGGACCCAGGCCCGGGGTCTCAGCAGGTTTGGGGGCAATATGGCACAGTACTGAGGTCTGTGGGCCAAAGCCACTGGAATGGCATGTCCTGTGATGCAGGAGGGGCAGCAGGGGACAGCTGAGGGGCCTCTGGGCTGGAACCCTTGCTAGCTGGACCAAGGCAGAGAGCCACTCTTCACCAGCAACTGCTCCAAGCACTGCCCACTGAGCCAGCAACTGCTCAGGCCCTGGACACCAGGCTCTCTCAGGAGCCCAGGGACACAGTTGGGCAAGAGGGCCACCTGCCAGGACAGAGGACACAGGACAGAGTGACAGGCTAGGGGATACATGGGGCAGCAAGGCCTGCAGAGGAGGGAGGTGCAGCTCTTGGCTGGAGAGGGCAGGGGTCCGAGCAATGAGCAGGCCCCAGCACCGACACTGGACACACTCCACAGGGCAGGAAGGGAGGAGGGCCTGGGGCAGAGTTGCAGTGAGACCTGAGTCTCCTAAGAGAGCAGGTGGCCCTGTGGGGCACTGGCCTGGGCATCTGGGGGCTGCAAGACCCAGGCCACGCCTGCTGTTTCCGGGGTGGGCGGGAGGGGGCGCCAGAGACCTTATCTGTGCCACGCTGATGTTGCCGCCAGCCGGCGCCTTCTCGTTATCACTAGAGGGTACAGGGTAGCCGTTGTCCACCCAGAATGGCCTTATGCAGCCCAAGCACTTTCTTACTCCAGACAGTGGACCTCGTGAGGCCTCTGATGCCTCCATAGGGAGGGCCCTATGCCCTGCAGGGACAGGAGTTGGGACAGGGAAGACCCCAATCCAGGGAGTAGTGGTCAACCAGGCTTCAGAGCAGTTGCTGGACAAATTCCAAACCCAACGGTACCAGGGTCCACCGCTGAGTTAGAATTCACGCCGGGAGGTGGACACTCAGGTATTTTAAGCTGTCTTGCTCGTTCCCACGTGATCCAGAGGCACAGATGCTGACCACCCTGCTGAGGATTGACAGGGAACAAGTTGGAAACGCAGCCCACGCTGGGCTCACTCAGAGCTCCGAGGGGGAGGAGCCGGTGGCAACTGCACTTTGTCAGGTCCTCCAGGGCCTTCAGCCTGGACCCTGCTGAGCCTCACCACCCCAGGTGTGCTCCGGGGCCCTGCAGCTTGGTAGTGATGCCGAGCACCCCCTGCTCCACCACCCAGTCAGAACCTGAGTTTCCACAGAATCCCTGGAGATGCCTAAAGATGAGGACATCTCTCTCCCGCCCAAACCAGAACACACGGGGTGGGGGGCAAACCCCCTCCAGGACTTTCTTGGCCCACTGCAGGAGAGCGGGGTGGGGGAGGACCAGTGGATGGGGCAAGGGGTGTAGAGGGCAGGGCCTCCACGTGGAGGCCAGTCACAGGGAGCTGCTGCTGCTGCTGTTTAGACTTCCTGACATGAGATAAATTATCTACAATAGGTACAGAAAGAGAAGACAAAACCTATGTGCACCTCTAGTCCCCCACCACCAAACACCATCCCTGTCCGTCTTCCTAGATGTTTGACACAGTCCTCTATCAGGAACGGAGTCGTGAAGATACAGCGACTGCTGTCGGGTGTGCTTTTCCTGACATCAGCCTGGGATGCCATCTCAGCAGGGCGGGAGCCATGGCCCTGGGCAGCTCTCTCCTCCTCTGACACGGGAGGCCTGGGCCTGCTCCCCTGCAGATTTCCCTCTGTGTCTGACTGTTGTAATAAAACCAACCATGAGCGCATCCCCGTGACGAGTCCTGTGTGTTCTCTTAGTGAATTGTGGTTTTGGAGACCCCAAAGCAGCTGCCCCCAAGAGAACCTGTTACCTCCTGTAGCCACAGGGACCAGGTTTCTGAAAATGAAACCCAAAGTCTAATCTGGTGGGTGTCTGCATCATCATGCAAGTTGAATTTGCTGCCTCTGTGGGTCTCTGGGTAAATTTAGGGGATTGTTAGAGAAAGAATGGGCCTCAGCCATTAGGATGGGGATCTGTGGGCAAACTGGGGTGGAGCTGGGGATCTTTAGGTGCAGAATCCCCAAACATGTGGGTGAGCAAGTTTCCCAGCACCCCTGAAGCACCCTGGGGTGGAGAGGAAAAACAAAGGAACCGGCCCCCTGGACAGGTAGTGTCCCATGGGATGGCAGACCTCACGGGCCGGGCCAGGAATCTGCACTGACTCGGAGAGGCAGGGTGGTCTCGGGCACTGTGGGGGTCTGTGCAGAGAGGTGCATTCTCATAGCTCAGGGCCCCTTGGCATTTTAGATGGCATCCCTTGGGCTGGGACACTCTCCTTCCAGACTAGAGACAGGCTCTGCATAAGCCCCAAAGCTCTGGTTTGGAGACAGGTCCAGCTCAGCCCCACACTTTCTGCCTGTGACTTTGCTCAACAGTCATTCTGTGACTCCTGCCAGCTGGACTGCTGGGGCAGCTCTGGGCTCACCCACACTACCCCAGGACAGGAAGCTTCCATGGGTCCAGTGGCAGACACCCGCTCTCTTGTGGGTTTGTTCCAAGTGCCAAGGTTGATTCTCAGTCCTGAATGCTGTAGAAACAGACTGCACAAGGATGCTTTTCTCTCAATTTGATCTTGGATCCAAGTCTCACAAGTTGATCCCGTAACTCTGCTGCCCGCAGGGCTACAAAAGCCCACAGTCCTCTGGCTGGGAATGAGATATTCAGTTTGACAGTTCAGGCAGGTGACGTTTCCTTCCTGGTCCCCAGCCCCTGCATAAAGAGGAGGTTTTGAGCTGGCAGCGACACATCCAGGTTGCACAGCTGGGCTGAGCAGACGGAGGAAAGGTAAAGCCTCTGGGGACCTGGGACTGTATCCGAGGGCAAGGAAGGCAGACTCTTAGGTAATCAGAATCAATGAAGCCAACCAGGTGGGGGCTTCATGGGAGAATGATGGCTCGAAACCACTGAAGTCGGAGTCACTGGGCAGACTCTAGCTTCCCAGGGGTGGCAGAAAGGCTGGCTCTGGTGCACAGTGGTCTCGCCCTCTGGACTCCTGCAGGTGGACCTAAGGAGTCGACTGGCTGCAACTGGGGATGATGGAGGCCTGCTGGATGCTGGGGCTGGCCCTCTGCCTCCCGCTGGGGCCTCTTGCAGGTGAGGGGCCACTCTGGGACAGACCTCTGCCCTCCGGTGCTCTCCCCTCCATACTGTAGTCCACTCAGCAGTGTGGGTCAGGTCTGGGATGCTTGGCTGATGGCCTCCCCTTCCCTTTGCAGGGGCCAAGCCAGTGCAGGAGGGGGCAGGTAAGCTCTTCCTTCATTTACATCAATAACTGTGGGTGGGGGTGGAAGCAGTGGTTGCTGGGGCCAGGGCTTCTTTACCAGACAGACATGATGGGAGGCCTGGGTCAGCTGAGAGGAGGTGGGTCACTGCCAGCAGGCCCTGCCCAGCAGCCTGGGAACACACCTGGCCAATGAAGCCCCGAAATTCCCACCCTCAGGCCTGGGATTGGTCCGGGCCCTCCCTCAAGTTCAAACTCAGTTAGGTATTATCTGGGTGTCTTTGCCCAAACTCTAGGACCAGGAAGCTCTGCTCTCCTCTGAACCCCTCCCAGGACACTGCCCAAGCCCCTACAATCCTACCAGCCAGCTCCTCCCAGTTCAGCACCTCCCAGAGTGAGGGTGGCCTCCCCTCCCCTCCCCCCCCCTCCTCCGTCTCAGGTCCTCATCCCTCCCCTTTCTCTGACTCTTCCTCTGTCCCTAGACCTGGCACCCTTAAGATGCAGGGACACTGGCCCCTGTTCCTAGGATGATCAGGGGCAGCCTGGGCCCTGCTCCAGGCCAGAAGGCCCCGCCACTGCAGGTGCTGCTGGGCTGTCTACCTGCCCCAGAGGGGTCTCCAGGCAGTGGGCAGCCCCTGAGGTGGCCTCCTGTCTCTCAGACCCCTATGCTGAACCTCCGGCCCTGCCCTACTGGCCCTTCTCCACCTCTGACTTCTGGAACTACGTGCAGTACCTGCAGAGCCTGGGTGCCTACCCACAGCTGGAGGACCTGGCCCGCACCTTCTTTGCCCACTTCCCCCTGGGGAGCACCCTGGGCTTCCACGTCCCCTACCAGGAGGACTGACGCCTGCCTGACTGCACTGCCCTTGCCTTGGGGTGACCCATAGCCATGGTGGGGTGGGGGTCTGGTGGCTTCACACCAGTAAACCTCCCACTGAAGAGGCAGCACAGGCCATGGGGTGCCACAGGCCAGGGACACACTCTGACCCACCCCACAGCTGCACACTGCTCTATTGTCTCCCCAGCTAACCTGGCTGGCTCTGATCCCTGGGGACTCTGCTTTAATAAATGTCTGCACACTTTCATCCACGGAGTCGCCACTGTGTCACCCCCTCCTCCAGTTCTCTCCATAACCCTCAGATTGCCGGTGAGGAAACTGAGGCAGGAACAGAGGCTCGGCCTGAATCGTTAAAGCCATTCAGCTGGTCAGAGGAGCTGGTTCCAGCCCCAGCAGGGGACACGGAGTTGGGCAGCAGTCAGCCCAGGGCAGGTGTCCACACTTCACACAGAGCACACTCTTGAGGGCAGCAGGGAATGAGGACACGTGAGCCCATCTGTGAGGGGAGTCAGGGCCCAGGTTCAGGCTCCGAGGCTGAGGAGGGAGGGGTTTGTGGCCCTGGGCAGTCCTGTGGGAGTGGGAGGGTGGACAGGCAGCGCAGGAGTGCCTCAGGTCCAGCCCCAGTGCAGTGAGACCCATCTGTGCAAGGTGTGCAAGCCAAGAGGACCGTGAGGCTCACACCCAGTCAGGGAAGAAAGCCAGCCAGTGGCAGCCCCCTCAGTGCCTCAGGGGACACACTCTAACCTGGCATCTGAGGCTCCTCTGCCCTGAATCCAGTCCCTGTCCACTCAGGCCAGGCTGGCCCCTGTCCAGGCCACAATACCCTCACATCTCTGCTCTGTCCCTTGGCCTCCACAGCCCCTCCCAACCTCCATGTCCACCTACTGCTGAAAGTTAAGGAAAAGATGATTCAAGGACACTAAAGGCGGGTAAGAGACTCCATTCAGGACTACCAAGACAGGGGCAAAGGCCTGTGGGGCCTCCCAATGAGAAAGACTGCGTTCAACTCCAAGGGCAGCAGCAGTGGGGGTGGACAGCAAGGAGCAGGCTGGGTGATGGGCGGAAAGTGACTGAAGGTGGCACAGTGCATCTTGCTAAACAGGACTTGGGGAAGGAGGCCAGGGAGCTCAGATACCCACGGGTGTGAGGGCGGAGGAACCCCATCAGATGTCGGGGTGCTCACATCTGGCTGCGCTGGCTTAGCAGGGCTCTTTGCTAAAATTGGGCTTTACAGACGTGCAGAGCTGGGCCTCAGACGAGGAGGCGGCTGCACTCTGGGCAGCGGACCAAGTCGAGGCCAGGCGCCTCCTGCTCCCTCTCGGCTCTGGTCTCTCCCTCCTTTCCTTCCCTACCCCCTTTTCTCCGTCACAAATTGTGGCAAAACAATACAACATGAAATTTCCACCTTAACCAGATTCAAGTGTCACCAGGCACGTTCCCGGCGCCTCCAACGGGACACCGTGTCTTTAGGTGACCGGCTTATTTCAGTAACACGATGTCCTCGAGGCTGGCCCTCGCTGACCGCGGGGGAACGTGCCTCCTGGGTGGCACTGCGCCCAGGGGACAGGCCCGTTCCGTTTGTGCCTTCGCCCACGGCGCGGCGCTCGCAGGAGTCCGCTTCCCACCGGGGACGCGCTCCGGAGGGGGCTCGGGGCGGCCCTGTGCGGTATTCCGAGGACTCGGGGATGTCCTCCGGTCGCCGCGAGGTCCCGCCTCCGCGGGCAGTCCCAGAACGCGGACGCGGGTGGCGCGCGGCGGCTGTGAACGTCGCCGCGCGTCCCCGAGCCTGGCGTCCGCATCCTTCTCCGGGAAGAGCTGCCGTGCCCGGCCCGCTCCACGTCGGGCTTCGACGTCCAAGAGCGCCCCGCTCCCTCCACCCGTCGGCTGCGACGCAGCCTCCGGCTCCCGGCGCCCTCCCCGGGCACGCAGGTCGGCGAGACCAGCCCAGCTCCCGATGGCGCGGCACGAAGCAAACCCCGCCTGACCGGGGCCCGCGGCGGGCACCACCGAGTCGCGGTCCTCCAGCGTCTAGACCTGCCGGGTGGGAGCGCCGGAAGTAGGCGCGGCGAGCCGGAAGTGGGCAGAGCGCGACGGCCCGAGATGAAGCCGGCGGTGGACGAGATGTTCCCCGAGGGCGCCGGTCCCTACGTGGACCTGGACGAGGTGAGGTGGGAGCGTCGGCGTTCTGGCCTAGCGTAGGGGCGGCTGCCGGAAGGCGGGAGCTGGTTCCCCGCCTGGCGACGCCCGCGCGTCTTGGGGACGAGCCTGGCCGGGGCCCGCGGGGTGGGTACCGGAGGGAGGAGAGAACGCAGGGCCAGATGGTGGAGCGGCACGGAGCGGGCGGGTCCTGCGCATCCCACTCCCGGGGCCCCGAACCCAGCTCCTGTCAGGTTTTAAGGCCCCTGCGGGAGGCCTCAGGCTCCGATTTGCTAGGCGGCTGGTCACTTAGCAGAGTTCGGAGTTGGGTTTGGAGTGGGAGAGTAGGAAAATGGAATTAGAAAGGAAACTTGAAGAAGGTCTGAATAAGGCCGGTGGGATTTACGTGGTGGTGTCTGCGTGGCTTCCTGTAGCGTTGCGTTGGGGAGGCTGGCTGAGAAGGGGGGAGTCTTGGAACCTTGGCAGCAGCCTGAAACGGAGCACGGAGGCGTTTGGCACTTAAGAGTTGAGCACACACCTTCGAGGGTGTAGGGACCAGAGCAGGAACAGGCTCCTGTGGCCAGCCATCCAGACAGCTACCATCAGAGGACCCTGCACTGATCCTTCCCAGGCGACTAAGCAACGGGCAGAATCCTGAGTGCATTCTATTGCCCAGCGGTGGCAGTGACCTGATTTTGCCACCAGGAGGAGCTTCAGCTGTGGGAGGCTCTGAGGGCACACAAGGGCCAGGGCAGGTCAGCTTCCAAGGGAAATGGTTGCATTCTCAAAAGGGAGGGGTCCAGAATAGTTGCCAGACTGGGGTTGCACATGCTTGTGGTCTCTGTGCAGTGTCCAGGAGGGGACTGGAGGCTGAACTTGAGGTCCACAGGTGAGTAGTGGCACACAGGGCAATGGGAATTCTCTTTTTGAAAGAAAGGGAAAAATTAAGGAATGTAGAATTTTAAAAACTGCTCCTTGAATTCCCCCTTCACACACATTCTTTATTTGCAACTAAAATTCTTAACTCCACCCTGAGTACTTGCCTGTCACCCCTCACCCTGTTCCTGTTTCCTGGAGGTATGGGATGCTATGACAACTCAAAGCTGTTTTGGGGAAAGAGCTCACATAACTTGCCTTTCACTCCCCAGGCAGGAGGCAGCACTGGACTCCTGATGGACTTGGCAGCCAATGAGAAAGCAGTCCATGCAGACTTCTTTAATGGTAAGGGTGCTGGGATTCTGCATGCCTGGTTTTATTTAAAAGTTTTTCCTGTAAGTTAATACAGTGGGACGATCTTGTGACCTGAATAATTAGGATCATGGAAGAGTGAAGCCAAGACACTGCTGTTCTCAGAGTACAGTGCAGAAATGATCACACTGGCTGTCGGCCACATCTGGAGAAGCATGAAATTGCTTCCTGTCTCACATGCCAGGGCCTGAGATTGAGTACGTGGCATGAATGTTAGCACATGCTAACGGCCAGTTGTGGCTGCCCTGTCACCCTGGACAGGTTCTCTCGGGTGGCTGTACTCTCCTGATCTTCCCTCCCTTCTTCCTTTCCCATACTTGTCTGCCCTTGGCTGTCTTTGCAAGGAGCAGCCACACTCCGGCTTCAGCCCTTCCCAGTCTTTGAGTCGGGACGAGGACACACTTCATCTTGTTTCAGAACTTTTCATGGTAGCTACCCAGGAAGTTTTACCAAACACACTGAAAGCTGACCTCTCATGAACCTTCAAGTGTGCTAGAGGCCATGTTTCTCTTATTCCTCTGGTTTCTGAAGGCTTTGTCCATACAGGTTATTTGGGCCCTTACCAAGGGTTCAAACAGAGGAAACATAACATACATTTCCTGCTCAGAAGGGTAAGTGAGATTTCTTTCCTTTTTCTGTCCCGCTGTAATCACATGGTTTTTGTCCCTACAAAGAACTTTTGTTACTCGCTAGTAGCAGCTGGGGTGTGATCTTGCCACGTTGGTGTCTGCCTTTACAAATAATCCCTGAGTCCATGCTAGTTTGGCTCACTGTCCAGGAGGAGGAACCTTGCTGCTAAATAAGGTGCAGTCTTTCCAGGGGACCTGGCTGCCACCCACTGATATCAGACATCCCATAACCTTGGAGCTGAGCTTTGAGAGCCTCAATAGCCTTTCTCTAAATTCTGTCCAAGGGAACACAAGGTGCGGAAGGGTGGACGCCTTCCAGAGCTTCCTGGGATTCTCACCAGGCAAGGCCGTCTCATTCCTAGTGCTGGCACCATTAATTCACAGTTCAGTGATCTTCAAAAGTCCCTTTTGTCCTTTGCTAGCCTCTTAAATTAGAGATGATTGACTGTGTTCAATGGTCAGTGTTGAGATTTCCAAAGATAGCCCTTGGATTCCAGTGAGAAGGATTTCCAAAGACAGTGGATTCCTGTGCACCTGCTTCTGGGCTCAGGAGCATGTCAGAGTCCTCCTGCAGGCGCTGCCTGTCTTGGGTGGTGGCTGTTGTTGTCCACGAGGAGCCTCTGGCTTCAGTTGAGGTTTCTCCCACAACCCTTTGGCTCGTCAGCTGGGTGGACTTTGGGATCCATTGTCTGCTGGGCAGTGGGTCCTCACGATGAGTGTGACTTGCTCTCTTCCCTGGCTTGTTTCATAGTGCAGTAGAGGAGTTAGACGAGGTGGCAGGCACGGCAGAACTGCACCCTGAGGGCTGGGTGGGATTGCCCTGGAAGGTGTCTCCTTGTGAAGATGTGGAGCAGAGGGATGCTCTGGGGAGAGGGAAGGAAGTGTCTAGAGCAATAGCACCACACAGAAAGGTCAGTGGGCAGCGAGTACTCCCTCTGTGGCCAGAGGAGCTGCCCTTCCCCAAAAAGGCCAGTGCGGGGCCTGCCCCAGCGCTCTGTCTGACCACGTCCTCAGGCCAGGGCCCACAGGAGGGGGCTTAGTTCTTTCTTTTCCCATGGTGAAGGGGATGTTGGCATGAGGTCCAGAACTTGGAAGGTGCACAGAGGAAAGCAGAAGGACAAATTGGCCCTGGCTGTGGTCACCCGGCCAGTGCCTTGTGTGTTTATCCAGCTGCTTCTGGCAGGAATGGGTCTTCGTTGTGTCTTGAACTCACCTCTTCCA